ATATATCATATTGTAAACTTACAATGCTACAATGTCACAATGCCACATGGTATGGTAATGATAACATTTTAGTATAAATAATGACATGGTGATAATTTTTTTATTTTGTCTTTTTTTTTTTTTTGAAATATGGAATTTATATTATATATTATGAGGAGAATTTGCATTAATTATTCATGCTATCTACAAGAAGCAAAAAGGAAAGTAAGTTAGGCGGTCTGTGTGCCCAGTACCATGGGCATTTGCCCTTCAGTGATGATTTGGCCACCCAATCTGCTACTCTGTTTTCTTCTCGTGGCACATAATTGAAGAGAAAGTCAGGATGACAGGAACATGCTTGTCTGATGTTCATAATAACAGGTTTAACTTCCCATGGAAGAAGTTTTTCATGCTGTTGTATATAAGAAATTAGTGCCTGGTTATCAGATTCAAAAATAACAGCATGAAGTCCCCTGTTTATAGCAGACTTGATGGCTCTTAACATGGCAAGTGCCTCAGCCATTAAAGGAGATAAAGCCACACACAACCAGCTATTTCCAAAGCAAATTTGGCCATTTGAGTTGCGTGCAATCATAGCTAGTGCAGCAGAGCCTGAGTCTGGTACATAAGCAGCGTCTACATTGATCTTTATAAAATCCTGGGGCGGTCTAGGCCAAGAAGATTGTTGTGGTTTGTCAGGTGCTCGGGGCTTGGGAGGTGGAACCAGAAGGTCTTTAGCTGTTGGAGGAGAGTATTCTTTGATCATGAGGGATATGCGGGTGAGTACCTGATGGGGTGAAATATCAGCATGTTCATAATATTTCTCATTTCTAGCCTTCCATACATGCCAGCAAATAATAGCACATTGTTCTACCATAAAGCAAAGATGTATTTGTTTGGCAAAATTATTGATGTACCTCCACCATTCAACAAAATTAACTACCCCCAGCTGCCTAGGATCAAGACCCAAGGCTGAACCAAACCATATTGGTTCAACATGAGGGCAATAAAATAACAAATGCATGAGAGTTTCATTAGCTGTATGGCAGTTAGGACATAGAGCCTCATTTAAGATGCCTCTTTTCATCAAGTTATCCAATGAAGGTAAGGAATTATGGATAGCACTCCATAGAAAAACCCGAATTTTAGGAGGCACCTTTAGTTTCCATAGATATTTCCATTCACCCGAAGACAAGATCATGTGTTCACTATGCCATCCATCCTCATGAACAACATTAAGGGCCTGTAAGTAAGCACTTTTAACAGAAAATCTTCTGTATTTATCATAATGCCATACCATGGAATCCAAACAAGCCCTAGTAGGTATCTTAAGTATTTCCTTACATTCTTCCCTACTAAAGTGTTCATTTAATTTATTGACATTCCATTCCCCATGATTATCCAATAAATCAAACGCATGGGAGAGCAATGAGTTAGAAGATGAAGATGATGTTACCTTGAAACCAGGCAATGTAGGTACCCATTTGTCTTGATAGATCAGGATGTCTTGGCCATTGCCCACATTCCATCTTCCTCCGAGCTGAATGATATCCCTGCCCTTCAGAATACTTGACCATGCCCAAGATGGATGATCGCCCATTCGAGCCTCAAAAAAAGAGGATTCTGGAAAATATAAACTTTTGAAAACTCGAACCCATAAGGCATTAGGATTTTGCAAGATTCACCATGCTTGATTAAAGCAATAAAGATCTTTGAAACCCATACCTCCCACATGCTTGCTCTTCGTGAGGCACTTCCAACTAGTCCACCGCATTTTTCTTTCATCTGCTTTTTGACCCCACCAAAGTAATAAGGGTCATGTGTTAGGAAAAGGAATGGATAACAGTTTTGTTTCTTTATTTTAATTTCCAGAAGCATATGGTTTCTTTCCAAGGATCAAATTCACGTATCTGTTACTTTGTCATGGAGAGTCTAATTTATGTGTTTCCGTTGTTTGATTTTCTTCCTTTTAGGGTTCAAAGCTGTGCCATGTTGTCATGTCATCCTTTTCTTCCTTTTCCTCACCATTCTTCCTTGCTGATCACAAAGCAGTTTTGAAAGTGTTCACATAGATTGTGGTGGTAGTAGCCCTTACAATGACTCTCATAATCTCACATGGATTCCAGATAAATTCTTCTTCACAGGCGCCACTGCAGTTGTTGCTGAACCCTTCTGCTTCCACCTTCAAAGTGAAAGGACTCTTTGCTTCTTTCCCCTCTTGTCTGGGAAGAGAAATTGTTATACTGTACCGATTTCTCCTGGTCGTTATTATATCCGTACTTTCACAGTATATGATAACTACTATGGAAAATCAAACTCACCTCTTTTGATGTTTTTGTTGAGGGGAATCAGGTTTTCTCATGGCGTTCCCCCTGGGTTGAGAGTATCACACATGATGGTGCATACTCTGACTTATTTGCAAATGTCAATGATGACTGCCTGGATTATTGTTTTTACAGCATCAATGGTGATTCCCCAGTTATTAGCTTGCTAGAAATCATACGGGTTGACCCATCATCTTATGGGAAAAACATGCTGATTAAGTATGCTAGGGTCACTGCAGTTTCAAGCACATGGGGCCCTAGGTTCACATCAGACCTAGATCCTTTCAGCCAATCTTGTCAGAATGAAAAAGATTTTCGGAATGAAAACTATTCAAAATATTCAAAAAAGATTCTCCTTGGTAACTACTACTTTTGCAGATTTTGAATAGTTTCCATTCTGAAATTCTTTTTCATTTTGCCAGAACCAGATGAAAGGATTTAGTTCAGATGTGAACATAGGGCCCCATGCGCTCAAAGCTGCGGGTACCCTAGCATACGTAATCAGCATGTTTTTCCCATAAGATGATGGGTCAATCCGTATGATTTCTAACAAGCTAATAATTGGGGAATCACCATTAATGCTGTAAAAACAATAATCCAGGCAGTAATCACTGACATTTGCAAATAAGTCAGATTATGCACCATCACGTGCAACACTCTCAACCCAAGGGAAACGCCATGAGAAAACCCAATCCCCTTCACCGGAACCTTCAAATTATGGCAGTTTTGTTTTTTTTTGTATTTATCATAGACTATGAAAGTATGGATATAATAACGACCAAGAGTAACTGGCACAGTATAATAGTTTCTTTTCCCAGACGAGAGGGAAAAGAAGCAAAGAGTCCTTTCACTTTGAAGGTGGAAGTGAAAGGGTTCAGCAACAACTGCCCTGTCACCTACGAAGAAGAATTTATCTAGCATTCATGTAAGATTGTAAGAGTCGTTATAAGGGCTATTACCACCACAATCTATGTGAACACTTTCAAAACTGCCTTGTGATCAGCAAGGAAGAATGGTGAGGAAAAGTAAGAAAAGGATGACATGACAACATGGCACAGCTTTGAAACTCTAAAAGGAAGAAAATGAGACAACAGAAACACATAAATTAGACTTCCATAACAAAATAACAGATGTGTGAATTTGATCCTTGAAAAGAAACAATATGCTTGTGAAAACTCAAATAAAGAAAAAAAAAATGTTATCCATTTCCCTTTCCCAACACATCAGCCTTATGACTTTGGTTGGTCAAAGGGAGAAACTGTCCTTTTCAGCCTTATTCTTACCTTTCTTCAATTAAAAACAAGACATTTTAGCTTTCAATCATGTCAAGGTTTATGCTAATCCCTCAAGAACTATTTCTACCTAATGCATAGCAGTTTAAAATGAAAAAGATAGCACATCCTTTAAATCCAGAAAATTGGGTTCATGACAAAAGGGATAATGAGCTAACCACCAAGACCTCATTAACAAAACCAGCATTATATGTTAGAAATACAGAACATAAACAGAGTATAAACACAATGACACAAGGGAGTGCAGGATGAACAATGTTTGTCATAGCAAATGCATTTTAAAGAACTTGATTTTTAAACAAGCAATCCTTCAGGAAAGAAAAGGGACTGCTTAAAACTTAAGGTTTCCTAACAAAGTCTTTTGAGTCTAAAAGAGCAGCATTCAACAAAGGAAAGTAAATGCAACAGAAAACCAAAAAAATTATAATTAAGATCAATAATTTAGTTACAATGATAAAGTATGATAATAAGCAAAATAAATACCCACTGGAAGTGTAGCAATAAATGAATGCGTAGAAAGAAACACCTGCATATTTAGGCTCTTAAATGTAATCACCCAAAGAATTATCAGAGATGGTATTAACTTAGCAAACGGATACTCATCCCCATTTGTAATGACAACTTTCCACATCGGAACTAAAATCTTGAGTTAGTTTCTTTTTTAACTGATTTTGACATATGATAAGACATGGGAAACATACCTTTCTGTCTGATGCTGATGTTGGAACCAGAATCAGTATTTGAGTTTTTTTGGATTCCATTGGAAATGCTTCTGAAGTAGACAATTGAATCACCTCAATGTCCCTCTGAGCAGTTGGCAGGCGAAGATGAAGTTAGTTTTTTCGGTGGATTGGTAAAAGAAAATTATTATAAAATAAATAATTAAATTCAATTATTTTTGTATGATTGCTACAACAAATGCCTGATTAAAAAGTACATGCCTGAGTGATGGCAGGATCAATGGCTATAGTTGGTACACTCTCCCCAGGGTCTGAAGAAAAATCTTGCAAATCCTGAGAGGGCAATCATAAAAGATAGAAATGATAATCCATGTAATGTAAGTCATGGTATAAAATCCATTAAACGCTCACAATTAACTGGAAAACAACCATTTATGGATAAAAGAGAACTTTCCCCTGCAACCCAAAATGGAAATAAAAGGAATGTCAAAATGCTAAAAACAATGAGTAGACGTATCAACAAATTAATATAACTTAAAAAGGATAAAGGCTATGGAAATTACTTAATAAAGAATAGAGACTTTGAATACTTCAAATCAGACATGAAAGCCTTATAGGGCCAAAAGAATAAAAATACCATAATTTAGAAAGTAACTACATAGCATGTGAAAATGTAGCTGTGATAAAGGAATAAAAGGAATGAGGATCTGAACGCCTAGGCTATCAAATGCAAGGAGCAAAAGAATTATCAAAGATGGTTAAAGCAAATAGAGCACACATATGCGTTGGCAACATTTCCAAATTGGACCTCTACTCTTGTGCTGGTTTCATTGTTAACTGACTTTGAAAATAATCAACACATAGTAAAAATACCTTTCTGTCTGTTAAGAATGTCTTAGCTTCTTCTGACACCAGTGGTAATGGTCTGAAGTTGACACTTGAACCACCTCAATGTCTTTCTGAGCAAGTCGTAATGTCGTAGGGGACGAGATGTTTTTGTTGGTGGATTTACTGCTGCAGAAAGCAAAAGCTGATCCACTGTCCATAGAAAGGATGTTGGTGCCTCAATATAATTTGAACCATATGTTAGGACAGGATCCAGTCCTAGCAGGGAAGTGGAACACAAATTTGCCATAGAACCAGTAGGAGCTTGAGGCAAGCTTGCAGAGGGAGTGGCCAGGTGGCTACAATGAGACTGCAAAAGAAATTATTTGTAAAACAATTGATTAAGTTCACTACATTGTCATTGATTGGATAACAGCTTTAGGTCTTCTAAGATTACAAATTACATGCCTGAATTATAGCATGGTCATCAAGCCTGGCTGGTGCACTCTGCACAGGGATTAAAGGTAGAACTTGTAAATCCTGAGAGAGCAAGCACAAATATAAATAAGTAGCCAGTTAAAATATAAATTACTAAATAATATTAACTTAGAAATTACTGAATAAAGAATCAGTGGGAAAAAGAATGAATATTATAGCCTTTGAATTCTTAAAATCATGCATAAAAGAGAAGGGATAATGGATGATCAATCATTGTTTGCAATTAATAAAACCAGCAGTATAACATGTGATTAACAAACAATAGGAACATAAACGCCAATGGCACAAGGAGGAATTGCTGAATAAAAAGCCTGACATAAGTATCTCCAGTGAGAAAATAAATGCCTATGGATAAGGTCTCAAGATTAACTCTACAGATGAAGGGTATCTATCAAAAGAACTGAAACGTATAATAATGAAAAAATCTTGATTTTAAACAATCAATCTTTAAGAATAAGAACCTCAACTGAGACCAAGTGCAAAGCAAGGGTGGAAAATTAACATGTTACCTCATTCCTTCTTATGCGTTCAACCCCCTTATTATGGTGTTTGGAGTCTAGAGGAGCAGTGTACAACTAAAGTGTAGCTATAATATAGGAATAAAAAGAACATGGATCTTGATTGATTTGTACAAAAATAAAAATAAAATAAAATAACTGCCTGGATGGCTATAGGACTGCAAAAGAAATTTTTTGTAAAATAAATGATTAAATTCACTTCATTGACCGGACAACAGCTAAAGGTCTTCCTAGTTTCCAAATTACATGCCTGAATTGTAGCAGGATCACCAGATGTGGCTAGTGCACCCTGCAGAGGGACCGAAGGTAGAACTTGCAAATCCTGCAAGAGCACACACAAAAATTACTAAAATGTAATTTTAGATCCATGAAATGTTAAGAGTTAAACCATAAAACAAATACTTATTGATAAAAGAGAAATTTTATTTTCCAATCAGACAGAGTGGTGAAAAAAGAATGCCGAAACAACTTAAGAGTGTATCTCTTTTAAGTTAAGTTCTATAATTGCTAATAAGGAGGTAACCACAATTGTCAGCAATGTAGACTAAATTGGATTTAAAACTAAAATTAACCCTAGCTCCCAGCGGTTTTGCATGCCTTAATATCTGTTCCTTGGAAGGATATACAGTCATACATTTTGTCACTTGGAAGGACCTCTAGGATGTCCTTCTGTGCCAAAAGTTCTTATGGTTAATGGCTATGCATGCAGAGAACCATAGAGGAGCAATTAATTCCCGTTAAAAGAAAGCAATCAATAAGGAGAAAAAGAATGAAGACATGAAATAAGAAAGCAACCATAACCTCTCTCAATCTATTAATCATTTACCAAATAATATAAATAAGAATCCAGTAATAATATAAATAAGAATCCAGTAATAATATAAATAAGAATCCAGTTAAAATATAAATTACTAAATAATATTAATCATTTACATGTTTTGAGAGGTACTAATCTCAATTAAATTAGAACATTACTACATTCAATTCTATCCTCGATCTCGTAATCTATCAATCACAGCAAACAGGCACAAAATACATGCATAAGTTTAAAGAGCAGAAGAAGACAGCGCCGGCATCACAGCCCTTACTAATCATTAATATTATTTCACCATATATAATTTTCTCCATACATCATCCAAAACTTATCTTCGTTTTAATTAAATATAAATGCTCTCAATCATCTAGTTTCAAAAATGTAAGTCGATCATTGCTCATTTACAAGCTCCGAGCAACGAATCGCACAACACAAGTTTTAAGTCGATCGCACAAACTACAAGTTCCTAGTCAGTAAACCTTCAGGATCTCCTTCTAATTAACTCACTCGAAACTTCTCTAAAACCCTAGTGACTACCAAATAAATCAAGAATCCACAGAAAACAACATTGCCAAGTACCATAAATCGTAAATCGAGAACCGAAAAAACCAAAAACAAGAAAATGAAGGGAAAAGGAGCAGAAAGAAACCGTTCTTGAGGCCGATGGTGGAGTCGAGAGGGTTGATATGGAAGAGAACGCCCTCGTACTGGATTTCCGACTTGGAAATCAAGCTAACGGAACCGCCGATGTAGGAATCGGCGGAGGGAACTGCCGGTGTTGATTGGAGAGGTTCTGTTGCCATTTTACTTTGAAAGGATTAGCAAACTGATCTCAAGAAAGGGGAAGAAGGAAGAAGAGTCGAGAGACTGAAGGAAGCAATCCCAGAGACAGAGGCTAGAGGGAGAGACGAAAAGAGAGGACGCTCATGTCTTTAGTGTTTACGGTATTCCTCCTTGAGCAGTGCTAGGGGCACTCGCCTCTTGCACTCTCCGGACAACACTTCCCCTTTCATTGGGCCACGTAAGCACGGACCGAAAACGTGGCCCAATAAAAGTGAAAGTGTTAGCCGGAGGGTGCAGGAGGCGAGTGCCCCTTGAATTGTTCTTCCTCCTTTACCAGCAAAAGCCGTACTAAGG